CGTTGAAAAGATGAGCAGAATTGACAAACTAGCTAGACCTACAAAAAAGAGAAGATGTAAATAACTAAAATCAGAATTGAAAGTAGCATTGCAGAATAAAAAGGATTATAGAAAAATACTGTGAGTAATTGTACAATGATGAATTGGATAACCTAGAACAAATTGACAAATTACTTGACAAAAAATAACCTAAACTAAATAAAAAGAAATTTCAACAGACCTACAAAGTAGAGATTGACTCAATAAAAACCTTCTAACAAATTAATATCCTGGACCAGATGGCTTCACCAGTAATTCTTCCAAAAATTTGGAGAAGAATTGACACCAATCTTTCTCAAACTCTTCCAAAAAAATTTAAGAGGGGGGAACACTTCCAGAATCATTCTGTGAGTCCAGCATTACTCTGATAACAATGCCAGTTAAAAACATCACAAGAAAATTGCAGGCCAGTATTCCTTATGGATATATACTGAGTAGCCAGATTATTATGACCACCCCATCAGTACAATGAAGTGAATTAGTTATGCAAATAATAATAATAAAACCTTGAGACTATTTGCTTAAGAAGTTTTCAATATTCAGTATTTTTGGAAGTGTCAATTAAGTAGTGATGGGGTAGTCATAATAATCTGGCCACTCAGTGCATATTTACACACAAATTTAAAATTTGTTTAAATTTGATTATCTAGTAATCTCCATTTTCAAATGTTAAAAAAAAAATGTTCCCAACATTTTCTAACGAGACATAGTTTAAAAGTGCACAGCACAGAGTAAACATTTGCAATGCATTTTCCTTGCAAACCCTGTGATCTACCTCAGTTCTGGCTGTTTAGTTATTTCTTTAGAAAGTATGTAGCTAATTCAGCTACAGTTAAATTTCAAGTAATTAGAAAATCATGAAATGTGAGGAAAAAGTATAAAATACTTCTATGTGTATCTAGCCTCAAACTGCTTGACATCAATTAAAAAAAAAGAGGCTATGTTCCTGATATGGTCTATAAAAGAATAGCTTTACTTGACTCTTCCATTCTCATATTTTTCAATATCTACTTCGTTTCCTTAACCCCAATGCTACAAATCTAGAGGACAATTCTGCAAAATAAATGATCCAATACTGCTGAACAAAGTTAACAGTTCTAAGCCCAATGTGAGCACAAACTCACTGTCATGCCAGAGCTTCCACACAGAGCTCAGGAAAATCTTGTTGCATTTTTCTCACAGAAAAAGTTCAGTCACTTTATGGTTAATTTATGTTACTGAAGGTAAAATGCAGGCTAAACATGTATATGATGTTTGAAAGTGGGCATTCTGATATACTGTATCTTGGAATCATCATGTTGACTGATTATAACAATTTTTTCAATGTACATAGATCCTAAATATCTTGTTACCATTCTAAGCTTTGATAATTTTAAATGAATGCTACAAATTTCATTTCTAAGTTTATGTAGATTTCAAAAAAACCTTTATTCAGCATTGTGAATTCTAAATAAAATGTTTGATTTTAATTTTATCTCAGTTGCCAATTGCCAGCTTCAGAGGGACTGGAAAAAATTACACTTTCATATAATAAGCTTTGTAAGTAGTGTTTATACTACTAAAGCCTTTCAAAGCAAGTAATGACTCTTCTCCAAGATAACCACCCGTGGAGTTCACTCACATCATTCAACAGCCACCTTCTAAGTGAGGCTTTCCCTGAACACCAAATATGTAATTTCAGCACCTGTTTGCCCTGGACAGCTCATTATCTCCTTTCCTGTTGTCCTTTTTTCTCCTTAGAACTTAGCATTTCTCTAACATACTTTACCAATTTAACCTTCTTTAGTGTTTGTTTCCATACACACACACACACAGGATGAAGGAAGAGATTTATCTGTTTGATTCATCACTATATTCCAGCTCCAGTAAGGTTATTTGGCACATAGGAAGAGGCACTCAAAAGTGAGTAATGTTAAGTTACAAAAAGAGGTTACATTAAACACCATGATCCCAATTTTGAAAATATTATAACATGCATATACCTTGTACCATACATAAACAGAAGTAATACTGAAAGGTTAACATACATACCTATAATCTACACCCACAGAAGAAACATTTAAGGACACTTTAATTTTAGCAGTGATTTTCTGACATGAACTTACTTCCTCCGTACGCAACCTAATAATTTTCAATAGCTATAGGTCAGCCATAATGCTGCTAAAGTCAGTGCAGACACCTGATCAATGCTACACTGTATCATTTCATTCAAATCAAGGACCAAGTATCTGCTATCAACCTCCAGAGTACATCTCAAAGGGAAAGGAGAATATTTGGCTAATTTTTCCATCTGTTTAATTTCTTATAACAAAGACATTATTTTTATTAGAAAAACTGAATAACAAACAATTTATTCAACTAAAAAAAAACCCAAGGATAGTCTGAAAAAAAAGTCAAAGTTGCATTTCTTCAAATAAAGGTATATTTTCTTTCCTTTTCTACCATGCAAAATCTTTGGCCAAAAAGAATATATATAAATATATGTAGCTTAATTCAATAGGTCTTACTTTTCAGCAGTGTTTTTAAGACCTGCTAATTCCTCTTCTAGAGCCTGTAGTTCATTCTCCTTGATTCTCAGCTTATCTTGGACATCTTTGAGCTCCTGAAACTTGGTTAAAATTGAAGCTGCCTGGGATCGAGCACCTGATAGAAATTGAAATTGTACAATAAGTTATCACATATTTAGTAAATAAGAAGTTTTCTAAGAGAATTATACTTGAAATGATTCCATATGCAATCCTTTACAATGAGCTTATGAAATTATAGAATTTACTTCATTTAAATCTTACAACATACATACTTGGTAAGTACTTCTAAGTAGATGTGGTGGATTATTTGTTCAAGCTAATCACTGTCCCTGCCTACTCCTCATAAAGATCAAATTAGCCATGTAATTTGATCTGGTCAAGAAAATGGGAAATGTGCCTCTTCTGAAAGTGAGCCTTAAATGACAGCACCTAAATCACCACATTTTCCCCCTCGCCCATTTCTCTTTCAGCCTGGGTTCCAGAATGAGATTAGCATGGGACAGAGACAACTGACCTACAGTTACTGTAGCATAATAATGAAAAAAAAAAAACCCCAAAAACCACTTGTAAGCCACTGAGATTTGGGGGCTGTTTGTTATACCATAACCTTGTCCGGGCTCTGATATAGCAGAGAATTGGTTTCACTTTATAAACAATTGTATTTGTCTGGCATTGACAGGCTGAGGTTATATTGGCAAGAAAACTCTGTAAGTTTGATAAAATACAAAGGTTAATTAGCAATGCCATTATGAGCATTTTGTTAATATGATATGGGGTTACACATTTGCCATCCCTTAGGAAGGAATTTTAAGAATATACAAATCAATGAAATCTAGTTTCTTCTATTTTAGATATTTAAAAATATTTGGTCTGTCTTCCCATTGTAACTACTAGTCATCTTATTGTGTACCGGGGAATTTGATCATCGGATTCATTTTGTTGACTCTTGTCTTCTTGACCTAGAAAGAAATTGTCATCTAATATGTAAGAGGCGCTACCTCTTGGTTTGGTTAAAAGCACGAACTCTAATTATTAGAGTTCAAATTCTGAGTTTTGCCACTTATCAGTAAGTTATTTAACAACTCTGTACCTTACTTTCTACAACTGTATATGAGAGATGATTGTACTATGCTTACCTCATAGTTGCTATAAAGATTAAAAGAGTTAATTATTTAAAGCCCTTAGAATATGGTTTTATAGTGTGACAGAGATGTTCTCTACCTGCATTTTCCAGTTACCCATTAATTAACCATTTATGGTTACTGAGCCCTGAGAATGTGACTTGTACAAGTGAGGAAATTAATTTTAATTTTTTAAAAATATACTTTATTGATTTTTTACAGAGAGGAAGGGAGAAGGGATAGAGAAGTAGAAATATCGATGAGAGAGAAACATCGATCAGCTGCCTCCTGCACACTCCCCACTGGGGATGTGCCCGCAACCAAGGTACATGCCCCTGACCAGAATCGAACCCAGGACCCTGAGTCTGCAGGCTGACGCTCTATCCATTGAGCCAAACCGGTTGGGCTAATTTTAATTTTGATTATTTAAATGTAAAGAGCCACATGTGGCTAACAGTTCTTATTTTGGACAGCACAATCTTACAACACTGCCTAGTACACAGTAAGTATTATTCAGTGTTTGATATTATGAGATCACTTGATACAGATCTATAAACTCAGTGTGGTAAACATTAAAACAAGAAGCATATGGTCATTATCTAAGAATTCCTTTCTTAAAGCATTAAAAAAAGTACCATCTCCAGGGCAAATTTAATTTTATTTTGACAGGAGCAGTGGCATATACACAAAGTAGAAGTTAACATGTTTGATGAAGGAGAAATGGGCGGTTAAGCTACAAATATACTGGGGAAAAAAAAGACTTCATTTCCCAGTGACTAGAATATTCTGATAGGGCAAAAAGCAAAAGAAAATAAACAGTAATAGTTTTACTTGAGATGAATAAAAAAAGCTAGGATTGATGCTTAGACTAGAGCTCATTGAGGACTATGACATCATGTAATCTCTCAATATTATTAAATACCTGTCATGTGGTAGGTATTCAAAAGAAAACCCAATATCTAGATTAGTAATAAAACTCTGGATTAAGTCATTCCAACCCTACTATTTTCTGTTAAAGATAATAAAAGCTCCCATCCTATTTACCACATAGAATTATGAGGACAAATGATATAATACCTACCTCCACTCAGTGTCCCGTGAGGATCAAATACCTCACCTCCTCGAGTTACAGTTCTAGTCATTATCCTTTTGTCAAAGGCTACTTTTTTTGCATTATCCATATTGTCACAAACAAATGTTGTTCCAAAGACAAATTCCATTGCTTTCTGAAGTTCCGGTTTGTATTCAACCAGGGAAAGCGCCACATGAACATTGTTAGGGCCAACCTGTGGGAAAAAAACAGATGTATACTTACTACTCCTTTCCTTTCAAAATTATTTTATAAAATAGTAAGAATTGCTACAATAGAAATTTAGGAAATACTTATCTAGCAAAATAATTCCTTTAGAACTTTCTAAAATGCTATGGAAATCTCAAGAGTTTTATTTAGGAAAAATTTTTCTTTTTCAAATTTAAACCCTGAAAGACCTATTGAGAGTTTCCAGCAAGGAGGAGCCACTATGAAGTTTCTAAATCCACACTGGACTATTCGAACAGACTTTCTTAATTAAAGTATAGCAATGCTGGACCAACATTTTGACATAAAATGTTTTGTTTCAATTATTAGTAATATGGTTGTTCCACAGTGAATGCTTTTTCATTTAAATTAAATATGCTAGGGCAGCCACCGAAATAAAAACACAATAATTGAGTAAAAAAAATTTTTTTTAAGTCCCTGTCCTTTATTTTGATACAACTGTGTCTCGTCAGACTTTATTTACAGTGTCCATCTCTGCCTGTCTTTTAGAACAACTAAGCATTCTTTATGAAGCTTAGCAGCAGCAGAAGTCAAAATAAAGGAGGCTCTATGTAACACATATTCAGCATTGTACTGTGACGTAGCAGCTACATTAAACACATCTGGCTAAAGGATTTAGCTGTATTTTTACTGTTACTTGAAATCCCAATTTATTTCTGACACTGGGACTGGACCTAAGGTTGAAATAACTTTCAAAGCCTTCAAAGTAAAGGAAGTACTAACCCAAAATACCACCTTTCAATTACTACGCACTCATCTCCATCCCCTGACAGTGTATAGATCAACACAATTGTACTTTGAAGTAATTTTAACTGAAAACTTCTCAAAATTTCAGGAAATATATTGAATATCCATTTAATATCTTAATTACAAATGCACTGCGAGGTTTCAGTCTTTTCAACTCCTACACTTGAAATAACTACTCAGTAAGCTGATTCTGCTGCTGAATGTTATACAGTCATTAATAGTCTTTTAAATGAACTTCCTTATACTCATCTGCTATTTTACTAGTAGTCATACCAGGGGTAGGAGTTAGCTACTACTTCTCAAAAGCTGACTGAATATCTCTGCCATGTGTTTTGTATGTCCACAGATTGAAAGGCAACTTAGAAGAACTCTAACAGAGAAGCATCTCTGCAAGATCAACAGACACCTTCCATATACGGTTCTTGCTGTGGACAGTTTACATGTGCCTAGCATGAAAAAAACTGAAGAATTCTGGTATTAATAAACTGTAATTCTAATTATTCAGAAAACAGAAATTCAATACAATCAAGAGCCACTTAATGATGGGGATATGTTCTAAGAAATGCATTGTTTGGCGATTTCTTTATTGTGCAAACATCATAGGCAGCAGTCGCCAACCGGTGGTCCGAGAGGTCCAAACGGTTGGCGACCACTGTCATAGAGTGTACTTAACACAAACCTAGATGGTTGAGCCTACTACACAACTAGCCTATTGATCTGTAGGGGAGGAAAAACAGTTTCCCTTCACTTTTCTGGTTCTTGGCTGAGACATCCCTGTGAAGAAAAAAAAAGTTAAGAGGAGAAAAACAAAAGTTTAATAACATATATACCTCCTGTTTACACGGAAGAGACCTGGAAAACTGACTCCTCAAAATAGCTGAAGCCAGCATTTTTACCATCTTACCTTAAATACCATCTTCAGTGCAAGGCAAAAGATGTTGGGGTGGGGAGAATAAGTTACCAGAAAAAGCACAGTAAACAAAGGTAAGTTTGCTATGTTGATTTAATTCCTTGTCTTCTACACTGATATGAGTTTCTAGAGGTAAGGTGTCACTTCCCTCTTTACCCTTACAAATGAAAATATCTTTTACAAAGGGTAACTTCTATTTTCTTTATAAGCCTGAAATATTTTTATACCAAATAGACTATTTAGGAGTAACAAATTGTTGCCCTACAGCTTCTAGGCTACAAACCTGTTTAGCATGTTACTGTATGAAATACTGTAGGCAACTGTAACACAAGGGTTAGGTACTTGTGTAATATGTGCTATGACATTACTAAGGCTAGGACTTCACTAATCCTTAAAAATTTTTGAGCTCCATTATAATCTTATAGGACCAAGGCCTTATGTAGGCTCCTTTCTTAATGGGGAGAGTACTGTTTTTACCATCACCTGATAGTTATGTAACTTGACTTAAGGGTTAAAGAGATTCTAATATTACAACTTTGAAACACCAAATATATTTTTTTATCTTAATTTTTAAATCATGGTAGCAAAATATTTTTGCAGTTCTGCATATGATTAAGTCCCCCCAAATTAATGTTCTCTAATTTTAAAAATAGAGATAAAACATGTAAGACTTACAAGATTCTGAGCGACCCTCAGGGTTTCTGGAGCAATACATGTGGCTGAAATTTTATTGAGTGGAATTATAGTGTATCGACGCTTCAATTCCCCCTTTTCTAGTAGCTTTTTTCCAGTAACCTAAAACACAGTGCATGTGAAATAAAAATACATGTATATTATTAGTAATAACAGAAAACATTTGAATGGAGAGTGCACATTTAGGAATCCATAATCAAATAAATATTTCGTGCCTACTATCCTGAATAATTAAAAGTCTAAGGCTGATAATTTACATTCTGGATTCCTGAGTGAGCCTGAGACTTCCTCTGAAATAGAGCTAAATCCTATATAATAAAGAACTAATATGCTAATTAGACTGAACAGCAGAATGACCCAAGGTTGCTGGGGCTGCGAGGGCCAAGCCCCTTGCACTATTTTCGTGCATCGGACCTCTAATCAGATATAATAATATAGTAAAAATGTCATTAACTGAAAAGTTTTAACTTGTAAAAATAAGCAACCTTGGAAGAAGCTTACAACATCAAAAAAGTACCCAAATCTTCTAGCAGCACATCATTATCAAGCTGAACAGCAATTACAAATTTCCTTTATTAAAATCAATTTACCTCTGTGTCTACTACAACATTGTAGAGTCGTTCCCCAGCCACCAATTCTAAAGCTGTGGTTGCAGAAGTATCTTTCACACTAATCAAAGAAGCTACAAGTCCCTTCACACAATTTCTATTCCAATTCTTTTCTGGATCCCTAAAATGGAAAAGATGACAAAAGTCAATCTTAGATAAGAAAATAGAAAAAAATTATATATATAGTAATACTCAGGAGCTTTTTTCAACAACACATTGAACTGACAGAAGAATCATATAGATTTAACAAAACAAAAAAACTTGAAAATGTCCCAGATGACTACCCAGCTATTGTTTTTAAATCAACCAAAAGCTCTTTTAGTACATATTGTTTCAATGTAACAAATAACTTTGACTTTCTAATCTTTGTAATACATAATTAACATAGCATTCTATGAAAAAAATTCCATGAGGAAAGCAAACTGTAAAATGTCAATGTAGATATTTATCATTAATGATAGAAAAACTTTAAAGACACTTTGGATTGAGATTACATTCCTCTCATTTTGGTTTTAAGATAGGTGGCATTAACAGCCATTAAATCTCACAAGAAAGAATTTCCCCTGCCCACACCTGAAACATTGCAATTAATGTAAAGCAGTTCACAATAATTTTCATACAAAAATCTTAATGTCCATGAAATTTTCAGACTGCCTTCCAGCCAAAATAATAAGAGATCTTGGTTATTACTATGTTAAAATTCAAGATTTAAATCTCATACCTGTAGGCAAATTGAAGATTGGGAAATCTGGCCAAGAGAGCTTCATATGTTTCTTTCAATCTACTGATATCACGTGACAGCTGCCTGCGCTTTTCCAGAAGGCTTTCCTCCTTGTTTTCTAAACAGTAAATCATAAGTAAATTAAAACCAAGTCTTAAAATATTCTCTTTTAAGGAAAATATTTGTAACCTCTATTTCCCAAAGTATTTCTAGAAGCAAAATACAAATTTCTGATAAGTATTAAATAAAAAGCATGCTTAACATTCAAATGTCTATTGTGTTAAGTAGACATTTCTGACAAATAATACATTTTCTATTCCAAAAAATAACAAATGAATTGAATGCCTACTGAAGTAGAAATATACAAATGACATTTTTGAGTTTAAGTGTCAGGTCAGAGTGATTAGAGCAGGAAATTCTGAATTAGTGAATCTTCAAAAATTCAAAGCACTATGTTATAGTTAGATATTTTTGAGACTATATTTGTAAACATTTCTTATACTAATACTCATTAATAGGATAAAAATTTTTCCTACTTGCTTTTTTTAAGTTAGTTTCACCAACCACCACTACCTCCTAATGATTTAATAGTATGTTTTTAAAGGCAAACCTTCATAATTTAGCTTTTTTATTTCGGCTTCAAGTTTTTCTTTAAGCTTCTTCACAGCCTCTAAAGCTTCTTGATCCTTCCTGTAGCCACTATCCATCTTCTTAACTTCAGCTTGTTTAGTCTTTAATTCTTGTTGGGCATGTTTCAATTTCATCTGAGCCTGCAAAGAAAAATGCAACAGACCATCTGAGGCAGACAGTTCAGATTGGTTTAAGAGAATCAGCCTTGAAAATGCAACTGTTGCCACTTGGATTAGTATCCCAACAGATCAATCATTTCCCAACATTTTCTCCTCAAAAAAACTAAATATGTTTAACATAAACCATTAAATAACTTGCAATTTAAATCCCTATTTTTAATAATTATAAAATATGAAATGAATTAGTTCAAATTATATCAAAAAATACTTGTCATTAGCTGGTTAAATTAAGAACACAATAGAAAGCTAAAAATCCTAACTCTAGTTCTCTTCCTTTCCACTTAGACAACACTCACAAATATACATTAGTACAATCTAACAAGAGAAGCTGTACTGAGCAATGAGAAATAACATTACATAGAAAAAGGGAAACTAAATTGACAGCAATTTAAATGCAAAGAGTCTGATATTTAAATGCTAGTTTATATAATTGAGCACTGTTCCTTAAAACCAGGAAGTAGTATTCTAAGCTCTATATGGGTATATCCTCCCTCTAAAACTGAATAACAATGGGCTTGTCCCAATACAAATAAGTTTATAGGAAAACTGAGAGGATTTTAAGGTTTTTTGGCTATTGATTTTTAACAAATATTTTGTGATCATCTTTGTTGAATAAAAAAGTGGCAAATAGGTGATGGAAAAACTTGAATTGGATTAATATACAATACACACACATGTCCGTATATATTTTCAGAGCTGAGTCTTCCACTACAAAGAATGTGTATATATACATTTTTTCTTTCTGCTATCAAAAGTCTTATATTCACAGGACTTCAAGAGTTGTACAACTATCTAAACAAATTTGAAAACCATTCTAATAGATTGACAAGCCTTTGAAAATTATGAAATCGAAGTAGGAAAACCAAAGACTAGAATGGGGGTAGGTGGGAAGTGGATATACTTCCAAAGAGTATGTTGTCAAGTTTTAGAACCAAGGTTTTAAGAACTAGATGTGGTAGGCATAGAAATGGAGAGGATACTTTTCTGTTCCTGTTAAATCTTAGTACTTCAAGTTTATGATGCCAATAAATACAGCAAAAAATATATATAAAATTGACTAACCTCAAATATTCCATATAGTGCTGGAAACAAAATAAAGCCTTTATTGCACTAACAATTTCAATTAACCTATAAAGGCATTTTAGGTTTTAAAGCATCTTTAAACTATCAATATTTAGCAATCCACATATCAGAATTTCATTACAGTAAATGCTATAAAGTGGCAGAATAAAATAAACAAGATCCTTGACATTGATCTGACTATTTTTTAACAAAGCATAAATGTGAAGCATCTTCTCGAAAACAAAAATAGTAATCACATAGTGCTTAATGTCTATATTTACCTGTTTGGCTTCTGTCTGAGCTTTACTTATGTCATTTTTACAGGCCATCATTTGACCAGCAAGAGTTGCTTCTGCTCCATCTTCGTTACTCGACAGGCCAGCGGAAACAGCATTAAAGTGCTGTTGTGCAGCAGCCAAAGCTTCAGCGTCTTTATTACTTGCTTCTTGAAGGGTGTTCAGCCCATCTGTTATCTTTTTAACCTCTTTTTCCTTTGCTGCTAAAGTTTTAGAATCCTTTAGGAAGAGTTTCAGATTGAAAAGTGTTATATTTTAGGAAAAACAACTATTTTCTAATACACATGTACACTTATGTCATCAAATTTCACTGCAATTTGAAGGTGGGCATGGTTACAAGGAAAATAATGTCACCTTAAATAAAATAATTTAAACATTTTATTCTCATTTTGAAATTCGCTCTATTTTTAGGATAAATGTGCTGCCCTTTTTTTGAAAAAAAAAAATGAAAGCAGGCTTCTTGTCTCCGAGGCCAGATCCTTTTCTTTTCTTTTCTTTTTAAATGTATTTTATTGATTTTTTACAGAGAGGAAGAGAGATGGAGAGGGATAGTTAGAAACATCGATGAGAGAGAAACATCGATCAGCTGCCACCTCCACACCCACTACTGGGGATGTAAATATGTGCTTCTTATCTTTCTAGAAATACTTCCATACGTTATAGTCAAATCTGAGAGATAATGAACTAAAATATAATTGCAAATTTAAACCACCTGAAGAAACTAAAAGTCAGTTTCTAAATCTAAATAATTATAATAGTCATCCTACACCAATTTTAAAAGTAGAGATTTTAGGATTAAGAACATGCATATAAAAATATTTTTAGGCCCTGGCCTGGTAGTTCAATTGGCTAAAACGTCATCCCAATACACCAAAGGTTGTAGGTTTGATCCCAGGTCATGGTATATACAAGAATCATCCAATAAATGCATAAATAAATGGAACAACAAAACGATGTTTAGCTCTCTCCCTCTCTTTAAAATCGATTAAATTTTTTTAAAGAATAAACTATTAAGGGCCATAAAATTTAAGCATTAAATAACTGTGCATTAAATTTAAGTGATTTAATGCTTAAGTAATTTAAGCATTAAATTACTTAACACCTTTTTATGCAAGATACCAGCCCTAAAAAATATGTATATCTATACTGTTTATATGAAAGTGGCCAGAAATCAGAAATTTTGGCCCACCTGTTTAATTCATGATTGAATAAATATTTACCAGATGTTTACTATGTACCAAACAAAACTATGTATTGTTTTAGACTCCTCAGGGAGCCTATATGTTAGGGTGGAAGACAGAGTAAGCAAACAAAGCAAAGCAAAGGGATGGAAGGTGATGGGGGGGGCTATTATTTTAAGAAGAATGACAGGAGGTCTTTTTGTGATAACATTTGAGCAGAAGCCTAAATGAAATAAAAGGAGTGGCCATGCTATACTAGGAGGAATTGTAATTGGAGCAATGAGCAAGTGGTAAGAAGGAGCCAGGGGTTAGACCATATAGTATTGTAAACCATGGTAAAGACTTGGATTTAATTATACTTGTAACTTTGAAACCACTAACGGTTTTAAGTACAAGAATGATGTGATCCAATTTGTATTTTAGCTTTTGTACAGATCAGACTATAGAGCAGGAGGGGCAACTAGTAAGGACACTATTGCAGTATCCCTTATGGGACGTGATGGCTTATACCAGGTTAGCAGTGATGGAGGTGATGAAAAGTGCCTGTATTCTGGATATACTTTTAAAGCCAACAGAATTTGCTGATGGATTAGATGCAGGATTTGAGAGAAAAGGAGAAATCCAGGAGGACCCTATGATTTCTGGACAGAACCGTTAGGTTACCAGTGGTGTCCTTTACTGGTATGAGAAAAATTCAATAATATACGCAGGTTTGGGTAGGTGGAGTAAATTTAAGAATTTTATTTTGGATATGTTAAGTTTTAGACTTTGTTAGCCACCCATGTAAAACTATTAATTAAGAAGCTAGACTAATGAGTCTAGAATTTATCTAGCTTCCCTGAGTCTAGAATTCAGGGAAGGAGTCAATAATTTGGGACATGCCAACATATGTACTTGGATTTGTATTTCTAACCTGGATTCAACATCTCTATTTAGATGTCTAACAGGGACCTCAAGCCCATTAAATCCATACTATACTTCTTCCTATTCTCCACTCAGCTTATGGTAATCCTAGGTCCAACTGTCAAAACCTAGAATTTCCCTTCACTCCTTTTATATTTAACAGCCAATCTCCAGGTCATTCTGGTTGGACCTGCCCTTAAGATGCGCATAAAATGTCACAACTTTCTCAGTACACTCCATTTCTATTGCATTTTTCCAAGGGCTAACACCTGGACAAGCTACTTCCGTCATCCTTTAGTTTGTTCTCAAAACAAGAATAGGAGACTTCTGGTCAAGATGGTGGAGCAGGTGAACAATGTGCCCACCTCCTCCCATGTAACAACTAAATTATAGAACAACCATAGAGAACTACCTGAAGACAACCTCAACAGGTCCTATGATATAAAGCAGCCATGCTGATAATGGTAGAAAGGGCAGAGAAACAGAATAGGCAGGTCACAAATACTGGCAATTAAGAATAAGGAGGCCTCTCTCAGCTTCATCACACTCCCCAGCCTAGGGCTCCACTGCCAGAAGAGGAGTCCCCATAACAACTGGATGTGAAAACCAATGGGCATTGTGTATAAGAGAAACAGAGGGGTACTGGAGTCCTACCCACTGCAGGTCTTAGAGGGCCTGGACACAGACTCACTCACAATCTCACTAGCTCTGAGCCCCAACTCAGCAGCTCAAAAAGCCAAAGAGATACACAGGAAGAACTAACTTCAGGGCAAGGGCTGGAGGGCAGGGGCCAGGACGGTTCTCTCCCAGAGCAAAGTGCTGGCAGGTGCTACTGTTCCTATATGAAGCGCCCCCCACCCCCACCCCCTAGTGTAGGCAGGCACCAAATCTGAGCTCTTCATTAATCTAATACGATTCACCCTAATAATTCCCTGAGACCCCAGTGCACCCAACTCACCCACCTAGCAGAACCTCTTTCAGCAGCTCCTAGACAGAAGGAACCTGCCTAAGCTTGAGTTGTGAACTTCCCTAAAATCTTCCAAAAGTACACAAATTCCAAATAAGACTTGGTGTGCTCGGTACCTGTTGTTTACTCCAACAAACACAAAGTGGTGACCAGTCTCTCAACTTGTATAACTCCCATCAGATGGCCCCAAGCCTGGCATAAGCAGTGGCCAGAAGTGGCTTGGAACATAGCCTCAACTGACAAAAATCTGGCACAAGTGGCAGCAAGCCTGAGCTCCCAATGTGGTGTCCACCAAAGGGTGCCAAACCCAACACTAGAGGAAGTCAGCTATACACAAGGGGATATAACTCTTGTAAACATACACACACCCAACATAGAAGCACCAAAATATATAAAGCAAATATTGATGGACATAAAGGAAGACAACGACAGTAATACAGTAACAGTGGGAACTTTAACACCCCATTCACGTCAATGCATAGATCATCCAGACAGAAAATCAATATGGAAAAATGGCCTTAAATGACACATTAGATCAGATTGATTTAATTCTTTTAGAACGTTTGATCCAAGAGCAGCAGAATATACATTCTTTTTAAGTGAATATGAAACACTTTCTAGGATAGACCACATATTAGTACACAAAACCAGTCTTAATAACTTTAAAAGACAAATCATAAAAAGCATTTTTTCTGACCACATGGTATGAAATCAGAAATAATAAAAAAAAGAAATTGAAAAACAAACACATGGAGGCTAAATAACATGCTCTAAACAATAAATGTGTTAACAAGATCAAGGAAGAAATCTAGGTACCTTAAAACAAATGAAAATGAAAACACAATGAACCAAAATTTATGGGACATAGCCAAAGCAGTTGTAAGAGGAAAAGCCACATCAATACAAGCCTACCTCAAGAAATAAAAATCTTTTACGAACAATCTAACCTTACAACTAAAGATATCAGAAAAAGCATTAAACAAAGCTCAAAGTGAGAAGGAAGGAAATAATATCAGAGTGGAAATAAATAAAGTAGAGCCTTAAAAAAATTAATGAAACCAAGAATTGCTTCTGTAAAAAGATAAAAATTGATAAACCTTTAGGCAGACTCCTCAAGAAAAAAAGAGAACCCAAATTAATAAAAGCACAAAGTGACAACTGACACCACTAAAATACAAAGAATTAAAAGTAAGTACCACAACAATTATTTGCAAACAAATTGGACATTCTCTTTCTCGAAGAAATGAAATTTCTAAACAGATCTGTAAATAATGAACTTGAATCAGTAATTTAAAAAATTCCCAATAAACGTAAGTCCTGGGCTATATAGCTTCACAGGTGGATTCTACAAAGATTTGATACCTATCCTCCTCAAAATATTCCAAGAAGTTGAGGTTGAGGGAAAGCTTTCAAACTCCTTTTATGAGACCAGTGTTACCTATACTAATACCAGACAAAAACACTTTAAAAAAAACAAAAATATAAGCCAATCTCTCTGATGAACTTAGGTGCAAAAATCCTTAACAAAATATTACCAAACTGAATTCAGCAATACTTTAAAAAGATCATACAACATAATCAAGTGGAATTTATTCCTGAAACAAGGTTAGTATACCACATGACTAACGTGATATACCACATAAACAAAATGAAGTTTAAGAATCAAATGATCACATCAACAGATACAGCAAAAGCATTTGACATAATCCAACATCTATTTAAAAACTCTCAGCAATGTGGGGATGGGGCACCATACCTCAACATTACAAAGGCCACATAAGAAGCCCACAGCTAAATCATTCCATGGTGAAAAGGTGAAAGTTCTCCCTCCAAGATCAGGAATAAAACAAGCTGCCCACTCTTTCACCACTTCTATTCAATACTAAAGGTCTGGTGCACGAAATTGGTGCATGGGAGAGGTCCTTCAGCCCAGTCTGCGCCCTCTCGCAATCCAGGACCCCTCGTGGATGTCCATCTGCTGGTGTAGGCCCGATCCCTGCAGTTGGACATCTGGCAGTGGGACATCCCTCTGCAACCTGGGACTGCTTGCTCCTAACCACTCATCTGCCTGCTTGCTCCTGACCACTTGCCTGCCTGCCTGCCTGCTCAGTCACAGCCTGCGTGCGCGTCATAGCGACCAGTCATTCAGGTTGTTCCGTCATAATGATCACTTAGACTTTTATATATATATCGATAGTATTGGAAGCCCTAGCCAGATCAATTAGTCAAGAAAAAGAAATAAAAAGCACCCAAATTAGAAAGGAAGAAGTTAAACTGTCATTATTTGCAGATGACATGATATTATAGAGAACCCTAAAGATTCCACCAAACAACTATTCAAATAATAAATTCAGTACAATAGTGGATACAAAATTAATATTCAGAAACTGATTGTATTTTGATACACCATAATGAACTACCAGAGAAATGAAGAACACAATCCCATTTACAATTATGTAAAAAAAAAAAACAACAACCCTGGAATAAATTTAACCAAGTAAATAAATGGATCTGTATGTAGTCAGAAAACTATGACACAGAAGAAATAAAAGAAAAAGAATAGACAAATAAATGGAAGTATATACTGTGCTCATGGAACATCATTAAAATGAACTTATTACTGAAAACAATCTACAGATTCAGTGCAAGCCCTATGAAAATTCCAATGGCATTTTAAACAAAACTAAAACAAATAATCCTAAAATTATGTGGAACCACAAAAGGTATCAAATAGCCAAAGCAATCTTGAGAAAGAACAAAGTTAGAGGTATCAAGCCACCTGATATGAAACTATTAGGTATACTGGTTAATAATGCGTATTTTTTTTCAATAGATGGAGTTACACATGTTGATATATATGCGATGTGATATGTATGCTATTTTGTTGTATTGACAGCAACCTTCAAAACTTCATATGTCAAATTTTCTGAAGGTGTTAACATCATAGATATTTTTACGATTAAAAATGTTGAATTTCGTGCCAAAAAAGAGCATTTGCAGGAAGTTTTAATTCATTACTTTATTTTGAAGAAAAGTGCTGCGGAATACTTGGGGAAGTTTATGGTGAACATGCTCCATCTCAAGATACTTGTGAACACCGGTTTAAATGCTTTAAAAGTGATGATTTTGATGTGAAAGACAAAGAACGTCCAGGTCAACCGAAAAAGTTTGAAGACCTACAATTACAAGCATTATTGGATTAAGATGGGTGCCAAACTCAAAAACAACTTTCAGAAACATTAAATGTTGCTCAGCAATTTCTGATCATTTACAAGCAATGGGAAAGATTTTAAAGGAAGGAAAATGGGTGCCACATCAACTGAATCAAAGACAAATGGAAAACCGAAGTCATCAGTAAAACGTTTCAACGGCACAAAAGAAAGTCTTTTTGCATTGAATTGCGACTGACGATGAAAAGTGGATTTATTTAGAGAATCCCAAAAGCACAAAATCATGGGTTGATCCAAGTCAACCGTCAACATCAACTGCAAGGCCAAATCGCTTCGGAAAGAAGACAATGCTCTGTGTTTGGTGGGATCAGGAAGGTGTGGTGTAGTATTAGTTTCTAAAATCAGGTGAAACCGTTAATACCGATGGCTACCGACAACAAATAATCAATTTGAACCATGCTTTGATTGTAAAGCGACCAGAATGTGCCAGAAAACACAGCAAAGTAATTTTGCTTCATGATAACACACCATCACACACTTCAAAACCAGTTAAAGACACGTTAAAAGACCTTGCCTGGGAAGTATTAACCCACCCGCTGTATTCACCAGACCTTGCTCCTTCAGATTACCACTTGTTCCATCGATGGCACACACAATTTCTGAGCAGCACTTCAAATTATACAAAGAAGTGGAAAATTGGGTCTCTGAATGGTTTGCCTCAAAACAAGAAAAGTTCTATTGGGACAGTATCCACAAATTACCTGAAAGATGGGGAACTGTGTCGCTAGTGATGGACATTACTTTGAGTAAAGCACTTTTGATGTTTCTCTTGAAATTATCGTGTTTTCTTTGATTACAAAACCTGCATTATTAACCGATACACCTAGTATACTACAAGGGTATATTAACCAAAACAGCATGGTACTAGTACAAAAAGAGACACCATAAATAGGACAGAATGGGGACACCGGAAATAAACCCAGGCATATATGACAAAGGAGGCAAGAATATACAATGGGATAAAGACAGTCTTCAATAAATGGTGTTGGGAAAAATGGACAGATTAATGCAAAATATATATGTAATAAAATTAGACCACTTTCTTATACCAGGTACAAGAACAAACTCAAAATCGATGCAAGACTTAAATGTAAGACCCAAGACTTGAAAGAAAACGTAGGCAGTAAACTATTTGACATCAATCTTAGCAATATATTTTTTTAAATCTATTTCTTCTCAGGAAAGAAAAACAGATGAAATAAATAGAATTACATTAAACTAAAAAGTTTTTGCACAGCAAAGGAAGCCATCAACAAAACGAAAAGACAACCCTATTCAATGGAAGAACATATGTGCCAATGATACCTCTGATCTCATGGTAGGAGTTAATAAATATCCAAAATTTAAAAAGAGCTCAATATTGAAAACACAAACAATCCAATAAGTTCACTGCAACATTATTAACAATAGCCAAGATATGAAAGCAACTCAAGTTTCCCTTGAAAGATGAATGGCTCAAGATGTGGTACATATATATAATGGAGTATTATTCAACCATAAAGAGAATGCGATCTTGCCATTTGCTACAACATGGATGGACCTAGAGGATATTATGCTAAGTGAAATCAAGTTATATAAATGTCTAATATCTATGTTGTACACCTGAAACAAATATAATATTGTATGTCAACAACTGTAATTTAAAAATTAAAAAACACAATACAAGCAGTCCAACTAAAATAAGAAACATCACGTTTCTGCTCAACCAACTCCAGTGGCTTCCCATGTCATTGGAAATATAGGTCAAAGTCCTTCACACTGCCTTGTAAAACTACATGTGAACCTACATCCTATTATCTTTCCGCATTCCTACTACTTAGTGCTAACCAACAACACTGATGTTCTTGTTAGGCCCTGGGAAATTCCTGTTCTTCTGCCTGGACCATCTTTCCCCATAGCCTCCAAATTTATCTACATGGTTCTCTGACATCCTTGGCGTCTTTAATGAACTATCACACTATGAGATCTTCAATGGCTACCCAACTTAAAAGCCTAAATTGCACCCCTCTCTCATATACTCCCAATCCTCTCCCCTGCTTTGTTTTCTATCCACATCAGTTATCACTATATAACATGCTATATATCTCATTTATTTATTTTCTTTATCATTTTCCTCACTAGAATGAAGACACAGAAGCTTCGCATTGTCCATTTTTGTCACTTAGACCTTTGCTACATACCCAACCCAAACACGTACACTTGATCCATAGCAGACACTCAGTAAATATAAATAAGAATGTATACTACTAGTGACATAAAATTAAGCTTATTTGCTTACCTCAATCATATTTTTTTCCAGCTCTTTGCGTTTGTTTTCTTCGCCTGTCAGATTTTTCTTCTTGAGATCAAAGGCACTTTGAGATTTAGTATTAACTCGCTGAGCTTCTGCAAGAGCATCTTCTAAAGATCGGAGTACACCTCCAATTTCCTGTAATCAAATGTATATAATTAAATCAAAATACTTAAAATTTGTTCATGTCATCATTTTCTTATATGATTTGTACATAAGTTACTTTCTAAAAGATTAGACTGACAATGCCCAGTGAATCCTAAATAATCATTGTATATAATTTAGCATTTGTTCAGACTATATTATGTATTTGTACATGTATGTCTAACCCAGCCGTGGGCAAACTACAGCCCGCGGGCCAGATCCGGCCCGTTTGAAATGAATAAAACTAAAAAAAAAAAAGAGACCATACCCTTTTATGTAATGATGTTTACTTTAAATTTATATTAGTTCACACAAACACTCCATCCATGCTTTTGTTCCGGCCCTCCGGTCCAGTTTAAGAACCCATTGTGGCCCTCGTGTCAAAAAGTTTGCCCACCCCTGGGTCTAACCTTATCTTTTCTTTTTTCCAACTCCTCTATTTCATGATTAAGCGCTTTTATTTTTTTATCATTCTCAGACAATTCCTCTTGAAGCTTTTGAACTTTATCCTGCATTTCTTTTAAGTCCTCAGCTGAGCGTTCTTTGGTATCTTCAGCAAGCAAAAACTGATAAGCAATATATAAACGACTCAAATGTTCTATTTCCCTCATTACTTTTTGATACTCCAAGTAGGAAGATCTTTCCTGAAAGAGAAATCAGCAATAAAGCACAATTCAGAATTTGTGTTTTTAAACAAATTTGGAAAGAATCAAACTGCAGCAACATGTATAAAATTTCCCATGACATGATAGATTTTGTCTTAGACTAAGTAATCATGGATTATAAATTTTAGGAAACCTGAAATAATATCAGAACTCTGCCTTTTTGGATAACATTACACCAAGTCTAGTGAATCCTATGTGGCTATTTCTTTTAATACATAATCAGGAAGTTGGAATTAACATAGAAATATGAATATAGATTCATAGACTGGGGTTCATAAGTCTATAAATACAACATTTACACCTATCAATAATACAGCATTAATATATTTTTCTAGTCTAGTCATCCCTCTTTATTTACGAGTGACTGATTCCAGGACCCCCTGTGGATACAAAAATCTGCAGATACTTAAGTACCTTATATAAAACAGAGGCCTGGTGCATGAAATTTGTGCACGGGGTGGTGGGGAGAAGGCGGGGGTCCCTCAGCCCAGCCTGCGCCCTCTCACAATTTGGGACCCCTCAGAGGTGTCCGACTGGCAACTGGACATCCCTCTCTCAATCCGGGATGCTGCATGCACAAGTACCCATCCTATTCATACAGATAAAAGGCACCTTGCTGTTGTATGGGCAGCTACATTTTTTTTTGCCCTGATTATAAAAAGTAGTACATAACATGATCCTTCTAAGGCAGTAGTACCAGTTTCCCCATCTTATGGGTGGAAAAACTGAAGCAGAGAGAAGTTAAGTAAATGGCTTTATCACGCAGTTATAAGTGTCAGAATCAGGGCTGACCAAAATGTGCAAGCCAGAGTCCATGCATGTCATCACTGCATCATCCTGTTTTTTCAGTGTTAGAGTAACATTGCCAGGTTTTAATTTTTAAATCCAAGAGACTGTTCCCACTATATAGGGTAGGGTCCCTAGGCCTGGCCAGTGGTCAGGGCTGATCTGTGGGGTAACCAGCAGGGCAACTGAGGGGCCCCAACCGGGTGCAGCTTCTGCATTGAGTGTCTGCCCCTTGGTGGTCAGTGCGCGTCATAGCAACCAGTCGTTCCGCCGTTTGGTCGATTTGTATATTAGGGTTTTATTATTTGGATGGCATAATACAAAGCACTCCTATTACCAAAATGCCTACCCAACATTCATTCATGTAACTATTCTAAGCACTTACATAAGACTAAGCCTGATTCCCATAAGGATCATCTGGTCCACACAAAGTAATTATTAAATTTCCTAATATGCAGACAAAGAAACAAATTCAGAATAAATGACCTTTTCATGTTGTCAGATTTAGAAAGAATTTGGCAAAATCAGGTGTGAAACCTAGGTAAAAACTGTAATCTAGTGTTTTCCACTAAATCATGCATACGGGGTACCTTCAAGATCATGATGTTTCAGTTTTTCAAGTGACACTTATTCTACTATATGGATTCAGAAGAACTTTGAGAATTTCAAATGTTAATAAGAATTTAATAAATTCTTAAATGCCTAACTTTAAAAATGTGCTATATATGTACCTTCCCTGAAACACTGATTATGGCGTCAGAAATTGCAAAGATGGAGAAAACTTAATTACCTGGTTCAATACCTTTCATTTCCCCAAACGCCTTCAAAGTAGTAATTGTAGTGATGGCCCTTATATCCTAGAAGTTACTAAGAGTTCTGTATCTTTAAGAAATGCTGTTCTGTGCAATTCTAATCATCCAAAAAAAATCTAGATTTCTCTTTAACAACTATTTAATTTTGGCATATCATTATCTAAGATTATCCAAAATCATTATGACTTAATAGATATAAAGTGCATGTTCTCTAGAGTGGAAGGCTGAGTATGGGGTACCAAGTCTAATTCTTTATCTCATCCCAGAAAATAATCCCTAAGACAGTGATGGCGAACCTTTTGAGCTCGGTGTGTCAGCATTTTGAAAAACCCTAACTTAACTCTGGTGCCGTGTCACTTATAGAAATTTTTTGATATTTGCAACCATAATAAAACAAAGATTTATATTTTTGACATTTATTTTATATATTTAAAATGCCATTTAACAAAGAAAAACCTCTTTTAATTTCTGAATGGTTGGAGTAATTTCTTCTTCAAGTATCTGAAAAATTAAAGAAAATAAAATTTTTCAGTATGTAAACTATCATTTAAAAAATTTAAAAAAGGAGTAGTACAGAAGACTGGAAAACTGAAACAAGAGGGGGGATTTCCCTCTTTAGAGCAGAGAAACTTTAAATGCAAAATGATTCTCTTCTCTAAAACTGTTTTATATAAATTTAATTACCGTCTTAATTTCTTTCAGCTTAGCCTCCTTTTTTTCTATAGTTTTTTGGGCAGCTATTTTTTTGTATTCATACATCCTGGTTCCAGCTGCTTCTTCTATCATGGACAAAATCTAGAAAGAGAATTGTATTGTTTTAAGAATCTAAGACAATAAATCTCATTGAAATTTACTTTAATTATATCACTTAAAGCCTTGACCACACTAAGAGCTTATCAAAATAATGGCCCAAATGGATCATAAAAGGTAAGTGCATAAAAATGTGCATGTTAGCCATAACCCTCACATTCCAGAAACATTTCTGGCTGTCACTCCAATTCTAACATCAAACCTTAGGCTATACCGGAGTACATTTATTTTAAATTTGAAAGCCAGTAATTCCTCACTTCTCTTTTCCTTCAAATATAAGCCTAAAAAAAGTAAAGGCTGACACATTCAGCTTTCATTTTAGAAGTTTCTACTTAAAATTGTCCCAAGTAAGACCTGAGCCATTTTGTGCCTAGAAGGATGAAGCATGGCATAACATCTGCATCCCAAGCATGGCACATGCTTTAAGAACTTGGGCAAATAACTTAATTTTCTCTGTGCCTCAGTTTCTTCATCCAGAGTACTGGTAATATCTCAGAGCACTGCTAATATAATTCATGTGAAAGGCACTCTGAAAAAGGCAAATATTAATCAATTATAATTGTATAAGAAGTGAAATTTTTCCAGCACTCCGTTTTCAGAAGCTTCTACTCAGGACCAATCCCTATCTCAAGAGGATTGTTCCTCTGGAACTCACTTTGAATTCTATGTATTTGGCAGTTTTCAAATTAGTTTTTCCTTAAGATGTTATCTAAAGGAAATAAACATGCCCTGCATTCAAATTAGAAAGGTATTATCAATTATCAGTCTTATTAGCGCTTCTCAATAACTAATGAGCCTGTGTTCTCTAAAAAACATTCATTCCTTTATACCAACTCTTCTCAAGGGGGCGCCAAGAGAAAATATGCCCTAAGTAATCCATTATAGGCAATGAATTAATTTCACTCAAATCTTTTTCTGTAGGATTTTTCTATAGAGTTTAACTCTGATATGAAACACCGGTTGAGGAAAATTGCTTTACACATTCAAAATTTATTTTAACATTGGGCACATAAAACTCCTAGAAGAAAGCATAGGTCGTTAGCTCCTTGACATCCTTGCCATCATTATGATGTCAGAAGCTGCAAAATTACAGAGAAAACTTAATTATTTGGTTCAATACCTTTCATTTCCCCAAATGCCTTGAAATTAGTAATTGTAGTGATGGGCCCTGGTATCCTAGAAGTTACTCACTCTACCAACAATAGTTACTAAGAGTACTGTAACTTAGCAATGACTTTTTGGATTTGACACCAAAAGCAAGTACAAAAAAAGCAAAAATTAACAAGTGGGACTACATCAAACTAAAAAAAACTTCTGCACAGCATAGGGCACCATCAACAACATGAAAAGACAACCTATGGGAGAAAATACTTGTTAATCATGTACCTGAAGAGGTGTTAATATTCAAATACACCAATAACTCAATAGAAAAACACACAAATAATCCAATTCTACATGGGCAGAAAATGTGCGAATATTTTCCCACAGAAGACAGATGGCCAATAGGTAGATGAAAAGGTGCTCAACATTACTAGTCATAAGGAAAATGCAAATCATAACTACAATAATATGTAATCTCATACCTGTTAGGATGGCTACTATAAAAAAGACAAGAAATAAAAAGTACTGGCAAGTACATGGGAGAAAGGGAAAATCTTGTGCACTGTTTGTGGGATTGTATATTGGTGTAGTCACTGTGGAAAAACTTCCCAGTTTGGAAGTTTCTCAACAAATTAAAAATAGAACTACCACATGATGCAGCAATTCCATTTTGGGGTATTTATGCAAAGGAAAAACACTAACTTGGAAAGATATTTGCGCCACCATGTACAATGCAGCATTTACAACAGCCAAGACATTGAAACACTTAAGTGTCCACTGATAAATTAAACAGTGAGGTACACAGGCATACCTCACTGTATTGCACTTCATAGATGTCCTACTTCTTACCAATTGAAGGCAAGACCCTCCACCAGATGATTTGCTTTATTGCAGTGGTCTGGAACTAAACCCACAATAACTCTGAGGTATGCCTGTATATATGATGGAAAGTAATTCATCAATTTAAAAACAGGAAATTTTGCTGTTTGTGACAACATGGAAGGACCTTGAGGGCATTATGCTAAACAAAGTTCAGAGAGAGAAAGACAAATACTGTATATCTCACTTATATTCTTTCTAAAAGGAAAACAAAAACCAAACTCATAAAGAGAACAGATTGGTGGTTGCCAGAGGTAGGGGACTGGAGGTGGGTGAAATATGTGGTCAAAAGGTATAAACTTCCAGTTATAACGTTTATAAATCATGAGGATACAATGTATAGCATGGTGACTTTAGTTAATACTGTATGTGAAAGTGCTAAAAGAATAAACTTTAAAAGTTCTCATGACAAGGAAAAATTTTAACTGTGTGGTGATGCTAAATATACTATAATGATCATTTTGTAATATATACATATTGAATCATTATGTTGTGCACCTGAAATTAACATCAATTATATTTCAATCAATAGTTTTTAAAATCTGTTTAACATTGTCTCACAGCTTTTGTTATAAATCCTGGGGTTAGGATTATTGACTCCAATTTATGGATTAAAAAACTAAGGCTCAGATGGTTATGTTATAAAATTAAAATAAAATATTGGGCAAATGTTGAAAAAAAACTACTTTAATAATCATTCGTACATAAATGTTTTCAAGAATAATGGAAGAAAGCATACTAAAAATTGATTATCTAGAAGATTAAAACAATATATAATTATTACTATTTTTACTGTCCATTAAGTAGTTCTCTTACCTCTGGAGGTTTCATATTCAATACTTTTGTGATTCGGCCCTGTAAATAAAATGGTAAACTTACCATAATGATAACAAGTTAAAGGCATATATGTTTATCTGCACTGAAGCTACTGTATCCTAATAGATCAATCTTCTGGGAGTTCTTTTTTCTGTATCAAGAGTGGGGAATGTCCAGCCTGCGGACTGTATATAATATGCCCGCGAAATCATTTGGTCTGGTCCTGCCAAGGCATTAGGGGTGAGTTAAATGTTTGGCCAAATATAACAGGCTAATTTTTTTAAGCTGACAATTTTGTATGGCCCAGGAATGATGTTATAAATATCCAAATGGCCCTTGACAGAAAAAAGGTTCCCCACTCCTGTTTTGCACACAATAAAAGATGTTTCTTTTATTTGAGACTGAAGGTATCTTATAATTCTAGAGTGATACAAATTACAGAAGTTAATAAATGATAGATACAAAGTTAACTCTGCCCAGATTTCTGCAACAGTTAATACTAACGATATAGAATTTGCCAATTTCAAAACAGGCATATCAATAAACTTTTAGCATAATTATTGAATATTTCCTGGTCTTTTTGAAAGATAGCCATCCAAAATAATTTCTAGAAATAGACTGCATACTTCTAGGCCAAGGGTAGGAAACTTTTTTCTACCAAGGGCATTTGGATATTTATAACATCATTTTCGGGCCATACAAAATTACCAACTTAATATTTAGTCTGCTGTATTTAGTCAAACATTTAATTAACTCATCACTAATGCCTTGGCAGGCCCAGACCAAATGATTTCCAGGGCCTTATATAGCCTGCAGGCTGTTTTAGGCCTTAAACAGAATAGTAAAATGTTTTCTTTCAATGCTAGAAAAATCACCAAAATCATTCAGAGACAAAAAAAAAGAAAAAAGAAAAAAAGAAGACCTGCTATTCAACTCTCAAGAGAATATTACTTAAGATTTAGTTTCATTTGAAGTAAATTTTCAGTTTTGAGGCTGTGATGTATTGAAAATAACTTTATTTTGGTATCATCAGGATCCTGCCATTGATCTTGCCTTAACTTTCTCAAAGGATAGCTGGATGGGTCAAGTGAGATAATATAAAGGCAAGATAACATTAATTCTTATTTTTCATTTGGATAAGTCTCGAAAGAAGAAAATTATTTAAAATATAATATGTATTTAAAATAAAATACTTTAATCCAATATTTTTAAATGAAATACTAAGACAACATTTAAAAATTTTTTATAGAGTGAGCATGTATTGTTCTTCTAGTAAGTAACCAAGTAAATCAAGGAAAATTACTTCTAGATGTTCTTCAAAATTCAAATGTATACAACACGTTAGAACACATCAGTACAAATAACTTAAAACCCCATTTCTTAACAGGTGCCCAAAGACCAACAGAATAAATAAAAAAATGGAAAAGTCCAAAAAGAAGCACTTTCCCTTTTGTATAACTTAAAACAATAAAAAAAGTCAAAACCATTGTGAAAGAGATAAAAGGATCACAAGTAGAATACCTGCATGATGAGAAAGTGAGGGTTGTTAACGTTAAGGCCAACAGAACAAAAGAGATCCTGTACTCTGGTATTGTTTGCATTTACTCCATTGATTAAATATTTATTTCTGCCACCAATGACCACCTAAAAAGAAAAGTATTTTTAAAGATATAAACACACAAACCTTGAACTAAGATAATAAATAACAGCAAAATTGCATAACAGCCGAGCATACACCCAGCAGCGCTGCTGATGCCTGAACGGTATGTGGAATGAAGTGGGCGGGCATCGGGAGGCCACTATGGCACGGGGCAAGCACTATGGGCAGTCTATCTGAAGTGTACCTGGCGTATAAGACGACCCCCCACTTGGAGGCATATTTTTCAGGGCCAAAAAATCGTCTTACACACCGGCAAATACGGTAGATGTTCTTCAAAATTCAAATGTATACAACATGTTAGAACACATCAGTGTTTTAATAACTTAAAACCCCATTTCTTAACAGGTGCC